ATGTGTGGTGCCGAGCCCCTGGTATGTTTTGTCCACCTAATATTTTTTTTTGTCTTCAGTCTTGATAAAGAAACAGAAAGTACTTGCTACAGTATTTAAAGATGGAGTGCTCCAGTCTAGAGAAAGTTAATTGATATTTGAACTCAGCAGCCAAAATCAAAGGTTTCATTGCTCCTGCAGAAAAAACAAACAACCTCTGTGAAGCCGAAATAAAGTGCCAGGTCCTCCAACGGCCACTAAGACTTTGTTAAAGGTTAAGTAAGGGGCATGGCTGCAACTTACTCAACCTTTATTAGCAGGTGAAACAAAGCAAGCAGCTGTAGCTGGCAACTCTCCGCTGCAGCTCACACCACCACTAATTAAATTCACTGAACTGCAAATATTTAACATGTTTTTTGCAACAAAAGAAAAAAAGACTTAGCACAAGGCAGCAGATGCCTGTATCTGTGCATTGTAAGGATACAGTTTATGGATGCAGCTTGCTAAGGAAACTTGCCAGCCTCAGATGATCACTTAGCAATCCACCTGCTGGTCTAAATAAGACAACTAACTTTGAAAACAACATGGCCAAAATGCTAATGTTCAACATGCAAAGTCCGCTAACTAATGGATGATGCTGCGATGGCTATATCTACCTACACCCCACATTGACAAATTCACGATAGAGTGTTATCTATTCACAACTGGCTTATCTTATCAAAAGGTAACAAAGCACACATTAAAACATAAGACCTTATCAGACAAACAACATTAAAGAAGATGAACTCAGCAACTCTCCAAAACAAATGACCCTCCTCCTGCAGCTCTCCCTTTCCTGCTCTAACCCCGTTCTATCAGATTCATATTTAGTATTTTGCTCTCTGGAGAAGGACCGACGTGTAATCTTTCAGCTGGAAGCAGCACAAACATAATTCCATTCATCTCCACAGTGAGCAGAAGCAATGCTCTTTTCTAATGCACTGCTTGTGTTCAGGTGTGTGGCAAAGTGAAGCTGTGTGAAAGAAAAGCCAGGAGAGGTGCACGGGCCTTTGTCAGGCATGCTTGAGGATGGTTTATGATCGAAACGAGACCAGTGGCAGCACAACTATCAATAATGAGCCTCCTGAAATCTGGCCAAGTAATACAACATGGCTAAAATCCACAGAGAATAGCGAAGAAAATATGTTGGTTCTGTAAAATCCATCTCATAAAGCTTTTTAAGTAATATTACACACATACTGTCTACACCTGGGCATTCAAAACCTCAGATTCATTAAATAAGATATCCATATGTACCACAACATCAGTGGATCTCTTTTCAAAGCTTTCTGGAGGGGTTGCCATGGTGCTGCGAGTTCCAGCAGCACAGCAGGAAATGGCACGGTGGGAGGATGGGTTGTTTTCTGTTTATCTTCTCACATATCTAAGACCTGGTTTATTCATTAGGAAAAGATGAAAGAAGCAATTTAGCAAAGGGGACGGCACAGAAATTACACGGTGCCCGAAGGTGTGATAAAAGCACCTGAAGCAGCGGTGACACGGCAGAACAAGATTTTGAATTTCTATGCGACCTTACCATCGCAAGGGTGCGTGTTGCAGAGGGCTTCCTCGGTGTGTAGTCCTATGCAAATGTCTCCACCATTGGAAGGCGCGGGGCTGTTACAGGAGCGTGTCCGCTGGTAGTGCCCACCACCGCAACCCACTGAGCACTGAGACCAGGACGACCAGCAGGACCAGGCACCGTTCACTG